GCGATCTTAATTGCGCCTTCCCCGAAGCGCAACGGATTTCATGCGCAGGTAAGCGCGCCTCGCATCGCAGCCTTGCGCTGCAACTCCGGTGGGAACTTTAATCCGAAGTAAGCCCCGCTCTGACCAGAGGGCTGGCGACCTGAGGCGAGTGCGGAGGAAAACCTCAAACGGATAAAAGAACTGGTGAAATTTTTCTTTCCCGCCATGCCGTTTCCCGAGACGGATTTTACACTCTGGCTAAGCTTGCTAGGAGCTTTTTATTTTCAGTCCACTCCAACGTGCTATTCTCTGCAGCCAGGCTAAAACGACTTAGGTCTGCAATCCGGAACATGACTACTCGGAAGTAGGTCCCGCTGAGTCCGCTGAAACTTGCTGCCAGGACGGTGGGGAACAGAGGGTTACATACTTGGGATCTAAGACCTCCGTTTTCGGGGCAGCGAAAGGACAACCGACGGTTGTCACTAACGGCTGAAAATATCAAAGCAGAAGAAAAACTGAACCATGTTTTTCGCGTCCCTGGTAGAAAGGGGTGCGAAAGGCTCTCACCGAGCACACACAGTGCCCCGTGCAAAAATCACAAAAGAAAACTCCCAACTTCCAGGGAAGCACCAAGAGAGAGATGTTTGGGTCACCACTGGACAAGAGGTGGAAGGGGTCCTCGTCTGAAAAGCTGTGATTTGATGGTAGAGGAGAAAATGAAATGATGGAGAAATGAACTTGGGAGGAAAATTAATCAAAGACATACTGTTCCCCACATACACTTTCTCCCTTTGACTTATGCTTTTCCAGAAGCCCTTCTCAGAACTCCCACAATGCAGAATCAAAGAAAGAACAATGCGAAAGAAATTTGGTATATTAAATTTAACTCCTGGAGTGCCAGGATCCAAAATGTTCTTTTCGTATGTCTGCTCAGTTGAATCCAGTAAATTATCCCCATTAAATACCATTTTCCAATATCTGATTGAATATCTGTTGAGAATGTGTAATTTTGGATAGGAATTGGGGGGGTTTGAGGTATGGGATACCAGCTGAACATACAGCTGTGGATAAACGAGATCAAAAATTGTCAAATTAGAAGGAAAGAGGAGGTAGCAATCCCCCCCCCCCACACACACACACACAACTGATCCTTCCTCCCCTTCCTGTGTCCTACTGAAGTTTCTAGAACAAGAGTGGTTTTCTTAGGTTACCAAAAAAAAAAGATGATTATTTATGGCGTCCTACCAAAGACGCACACACACACACTTCTCATTTCCACACACTGAGCATTTACTGATTTCAAAATGACACCATTTAAATAGCCATGTTGTATCCATATAATGGACGGGATGCTGTGGACTGTATAAGCTAGCGTTTTAAAACCCCAGAGCAAACCTTCCAGTTCTGCAGAACACTTTTTCAGGCTTAAAATAGTTAGGTCAGAACAACTGCAAGAGATGCTTCCTTGGTAAAATGGGATTTACCTTTACACAGAGCTCTTCCGCCATTCCTTTTAAAAATAATCTCATTGCTGCAGTCTTCAGAGATGCAGTATTCTCGCATTGTTTGTCGGAAAAGACAAACAGGAATAATGCCAGTGGCTTTGTCTCTGGAAATGTCATCTCTTCCGAGCAGTCTTCGCTCCCGGTTCACTGTTTGGCGTTTGGTGCCCTCCAAAGGCCAAAAGGGGGAATTGAAAGCTGTCTGCGAATTACCTTCTGCCTTTGGAGCCGCTAAAATGGAGGCAGCGACACCGCGTGGATCAACCACAGTTTTGCACAAGCAACAGAATTCCAGCTTGTCCACTCATTTCCACTACCCACGTACAGAATGGATGCTTTGAAACATCTGGGCATCTTTTGGCCTGCCAGATGCTTTGACCCACAACTTTCATCAGTCTGAGCCAGCATAGAGAACTCATGGGAAATACTGGCTAAAACATCTGGGAGTTGCAAATCACCCGTGTCTGATATACTATAAATTTCACAGGACTACTGTGCCCTTGATTAAAACATTCCTGTTTCTATCTTCAGCCTCATGTATTGCTTCTCATTCAGTGCAGAAGAAAGTGGAGTAAGAAACTGTCCTTGAACCTCTTTTTAACCAGTTTACATTGCCCAAATACAGAAAGGGGTTTAATTACTGGTTTATTATTATTATTATTATTATTATTATTATTATTATTATTATTATTATTATGAAAAGAGTGATATTTTGCATTACAACGTGCTACTTCCTTCTTTAAAAGTAAAAAATAAAAACAAGAACATCAATAATTCCAGGCTGAAATCCTAGATATTTGCCTAGAAGTGTGCTCCTTTGCCTTACTTCTGAGTGGACAGGCATATGATTGTGTGGCCAATTGATATAATCCCACCCAACCTTACTCAGAAAAAGATTCCTTCTCATGTCATTGAAAGTTCCCTCCAGGTATCCACAAACAAATAGGATCCAAAGTGAAGTGAAATAATTTTTCTATCAATTCTTCCTTGTTGACAAATTAATTCTAGAGGGGTAGCTGTTTGAATCTTCTGCAGCCTTCCCCAAAGTGGCGTCCATGCAATGTTTTGGAATACGATCCCAATAGGCCACAGCTAGTACAGCCAATGACTGGTGATTATGGGAGCTGTAGTCCGGAACATCTAGGGGACACCGTGTGGTCTCCCTCGCTTCAGCACGGTTGTGTATTTTTACTTATAAAGGTCCAATCCTATGCCTGCTTAGGCGAAAAATAAAGTCCTAAAATTCACCGCGTTCCCTACGTTGACTGGGGAATCCACGTTGCACATTTTTCTGTCTAAATAGGTGTAGGTTTCCACTTTAGACTAAACACACTTATTTAGCGGTAAGTTGCACTGGGATTTGTGCTGGGTTCTAAGGCAGGGCAGGGATCAATGGACAGGAGAGCGGAGAGCATCTGAAATAACTAAAGGAAATTCAGGGAGAAGGATTCAGGAGGGGCAGCAAGAGGCGCATGCGGGAAGAAAACCAGCCCATGCGGGGCAGCGCAATGCGACGAAGATCCGTAGTTTTCTCCCACTTTTTCCCCCTGGCTGCGCCACGGCGCAAGACGCGGCGAGCCTGGCTTTGCACCTCCTCCTGCGCCGCCCGCCTTGTCCCTTCTCGGCCGCCGTCCGCGGTGCGGAGCGCATGGAGTGAACGGAGCAGGGGCGAGGAAGAGGAGGAGTTACAATGTAGCTGATGCGGGAAGCCCCGCCACTGTAACCGACCAGGGACGCTCTCCGGGGAACCTGTCAGTGGAAAAGTCCCATGGAGATCGCGACGCCAGATCGCAGCGCCGGTATATTCCTGCCACTACGGGACAGAGAGGAGGGGCTGTCTTCGAGGGTGCGGGCAGGAGGGGTCGGGGGCCGCTCCCCACTTGCCTCCCCCCCAGTTTTCCTCTGCCCTCTCGAATTGTTCACCTATCTTTACAAACGAAGCAGCGTGCCACTTTACGTTTCGGAAGCCTGCAAACCGAATGGACGCCCCCCCCCACACACACACATTTGGCGCCCCCTGCGGGACTCTTAGGCAGAACTACGGGCTGGGAGGAGGGGGGCAGAGAAAAGAAATCGCTTTGCATGCAAAAGGTCTTAAAGTGGACTCCCCCGGGATCCTGCGGCCGATGGGAAAACCCTGGGGGCTGCGCAAGGCTTAGTGCCACCTCTGGATGCGCGAGCGTCCAAAGGCAGTTTCGCATCCACCGTTCTGTTTTCTGGGACGCTCTGGAGCGAATTCCAAAGTTCTGGTTTGACCTTCAGAGCCGAAGCGTTCGGGCTCCACCTCGTCTGTGAAGGTCTGCCGATGTATCCCTGATGTACCTGCCCATTTGCAGAGGCAATGCTTTTCGACCTGTCTTTAAGATCTGTTTGGTTGGAAGCTTCCAAAGGTAGGGAGGAGGCCCCATTAGTGAGGGTGTTCAAGGAACCACGTGTTGGGGGTTATATGAGTGGAGCCAACTGGAACCTGGAGTCGGACTAGATGGCTCTGGAGGCCCCTTCTGACTCGCTTTGTTTCTATGTTTCTGTGTTGTTGGTGCTTGTTTTCAAATTGGCTTCGAACCCAACTGTATAGTTTATGAACTTGTCATGCTAGCATGAAGCCGCCTGTCTTTTCTATTGTGAACCACCTTTGTGAGACTCGTTCTTGAAACGCAGCAATGGAGTACCTGAAATGATAAATGTTTTACTGCTTGGTTGAGCTGGGTAACAAACCTGCCATCAGTTGAAACATTCTGCTCTGAACACCTCTTGACTGTTCTCCTCCTCTTTCACGCCCCTGTGTAAGGAGTTTCGAAATGGGACATCCGGCATAAAATTTGGGATTACATGGAAGCAAATAACTTGGCTGATTTCCCAAGACCCGTGCATCACCGGATCCCCAATTTCAAGGTATGGTGGTATTTAACAACCTTACAAATTAAATGAAAATGACAGTTCCCCTTAGCACCACCTATTCCTTGTCATCAGGAAATACAGACCAATGCTAATGATGGTTTTCCTTATACCCTTTTTAAAAAGAGGGGTTGTGAGCAAGCTTCTGTTTAGCACAGCATTCTTCATTGGCCACTGATGTTGAAAATAAGGTATTGATTACCACTGACACTGTTGATTTCATATTGGCCCATGCAAAGTACTGACAAATTCCTCTGCTAATCCCCATTTCTTTGTGATATCATGTTCTCACCAACATCTGTTTGCAAAAGATGCAATGCTTCAGCCCTGTATTAAGGGACGATGGATGAGGACACTTAAACCACCCAGAGAGCTTGTCCAACGTTATGTTTGCATTTCTATATACTTTAGGACAGCTGTGAATATATATCTATGCGATTACCCATCCTCCACTCGCCATTTTGGCATCACTGAAAAACCACAGCCAAGGGAGAAAGGCAGCTTCTGCATTATGATGATCTTCTCTTCTTTTATAGAGAACCTATTCATGGTGTGCTCTCTTGATGGACCTATTTGGATGTGTTTTTCAGCACCACAGATAGCTTCTGTACAGCTCAAAAGAAAAGCTGCAATGGCTGAGGATTCCCACTGACATCCTGAGGAAAGGGCTGGGTTTAGATAGTTTTTGCTGGTTTTCCTAGTTGTGCTTTTTCCACTCAATGGGTTGTTAGCAAAGATTAACACCTTAACAATACATATGACCACTATTTATATCCAAGCATCTAAACTAGCCAGCGAGAGCCAGTGTGGCATAGTGGATAAGAGCATGGGACTGGGACTCAGGCGATCCGGGTTCAAGTCCCTGCTCGGCCGTGGAGCCAACTGGGTGACTTTGGGCCAGTCACAGACTCTCAGCCCAGCCTACCTCATGGGGTGGTTGTTGTGGGGATAAGATGGAGGAGGAGAAGGATGTAAGCTGCCTTGAGCCCTTTGTAGGAAAAAGGCAGGATATAAATCGAAGGAAAAAACAAACAAACTAAAGCACCCGGGCAGCTCCCTGATTAAAATGCTCATGCTTGGTGAGGGAAATTGCCTGCAAACTTTAAGATCAGAACTCTGCCTGCAGTAACTCCCTTCCTACCCTTGTTTCTGCAATGCAGGTAGGAACAAGAACACACACACACACCCTCCAGTTGTGGCACCCCATGTGGATGCCTTCCAGGAAGCAGCTTTCCCAGTTCTCTCCTCAGTGACTCCAATGCTGACTAAAGACATGGCTCTTTGCACAACCTCTGCCATGGCTTAGTTTTGCTCGGTTTCTGTTTCTTCTGGTTGGTCTGTTTGCTTTAAGGATGCTTGGTGCAGATAAGCATTTTTTTCTTTTTCCTAAATGCATCATACTTTCTGAAATCCAGATAGCCAAAGTGAGAAACCGGTATTGACGCCATTACAAGTGTGTGTTTCTGTGTGGCTTTAATTATACTGCAACTCACTCGGAAATTGACACTGAGCAGTGGGATATTAAAGTCGAGATTAAATAAAAAAGATAAAAGGGATCCTCTCTGTTGTCAAAGTGCTCCCGGGCTGCCGTGGCACGTGAGCCTTCCAAGCGTCCTACATATTATTTCTCGGAACAGCTGCCTACAGGGGTCCCAGCTGCAATCCAGATGTTGGATGCCGCTGACAGCCTCCACAGTGACTGGAGTTGCGTGGTGGATTTGCACTCTGCATACTCGTACTGCTGAAGCCTGCACTTTGTTCCCGGTTTAGCCATGAGGCAGACTTGGGTGGTCCTGGGCCAGTCGTCAGCGTCAGCTGCAGACTTTGGGGGGCCCTGGGCAAGACACCCGCAACGGGCCCCCTCCCTCCATGTATAGCTTTGCCAGGGTGGCCTGAAATGTGGTTTTGGGGAGGGGCACAAGTAACTCCTCTGTTGGGTCATCACCTGTGCAGTGTATCTGAGTCGGACGCTTTTGATTGCAGCGTTTAGAGAGCAGCTCTATGAAAACATGGCTTGGCCTTGGCGGCAGTTCACCATCCCTGCAGGCGAAAGGCCGCTGGTTCAGACCCTGATGCAGAATACGCCTTTCCCACAGGCTGCCCCTTCCGCTTCTGCCCGGCTCCCAGACCTGCAGGAGTTCCAGAAGGCCAGGGTTGTGAAAGTCAACCCCGACGCCCCACAGAAGAACGCCCGCTTTTTCACTCTGGAAGTGAGTATGACCTCGCGCACACACACACTCTCTTGCCCATGTAGGGATCTTTCCAGATGAGCGGAGTCCTCCAGGCATGGGAAGCCTTTGAGAAAGCCAGGGAAGTGAAAGTGGATCCTGACAAGCCCCTGGAGGGAATCCGGCTCACCGTGCTCCAGGTAACCGGACCTTTTCTCCCCGGGGAACATTCCGCATGCTCAGCCCTGGCACAAGTTGCAGGCTCTGTGCTGGATCAGGCCCAAAGTGCCTTTGGATTAGCCTTCTTTGACCTGGCACCCTTCAGACATTTTGTGGTAATTTATTTAAGCATACCCCCCCTTCCAAAAAGGTTTTGGGAATGGCTTGCACAGGATCAGTGAAGGGGGTCCCTGCCTGTAGGCTTACAAACTAAGGAGACACAAGCCAAGGAGACATGACACACAAAGACAGAGGGATGCAGAGGGAAGAGGAAAAGCATGCAGTCTTTCAACAGGGCTAGTGGAATGACCCTGCCTCCCTCCTCTCTTCCGTGCAGCCTCCTGGAATGGCTGCTGGCTGGAGAAGGAAGCTGGGTGAGGGAGGTCTTTTAGCAGGATGGCTTGGGTGATGGGGGTGCAGCTCAGCAGCTGTGAAGGCGGAGATTGGGGAAGGCTGGCTGGACCCCACTGTGGCCAAGCAGATGCCCCTGAGAAGCCCCACAATAAAGAAATGAACAAGTCAGACCAATGAATATGGCAGTTGCATGGAACCAACCCCCTGCTGTTGCAGGACACCAGTTCACACCATCCCACTCAGAGGGCTGCCCAGTTTCTTCTTGAATGTCTCCAGTGTGGGAGAGCCCCCCACCTCTCCAGGCAGCCGGTTCCACTGTCCTATTGCTCTGACAGTGAGGAAGCTCTTCCTGATGTCCAGCCTGAATCTGGGTTGTCACAACTTGAACGGATTCTTCCGTGTCCTACACTCTGGCATCAGCAAGAAGAGATCTTGGCCTTCCTCTTTTGACAGCCTTTGAGGGACTTCTAGAGGGATATCATGTCCCCCTCAGTCTTTTCTTCTCAAGGCTGAACATGCCCAGTTCACTCAGTCTCTCCTCACAGGGCAGAGTTTCCAAACCCTGGATCATTTTGGTTGCCCTCCGCTGGACCCTTTCTAATTTTCCTGCATCTTTCCTAAATCTTGGTGCCTGGAACTGGACACAGGATTCTGGGTGACTGTCTAACAGAAGGGAATTCCACAGCTTGGCTCTGTGCTGCACTAGGAAGTCCCTCTTCTGCTTGGTCCAGAATCTCCCCCCCCGCCTTCCCCGTCAGCTTCATGGGATGCCCCCTTTGGATTTGGGTATCATGACATTATTTGGTTTTCTTATTCTGCACAGCACTCATAATTGGAGCACCGCGGGGGATGCGGGTGTGGCTGTGTGGACTGGGGAAACGTCTCTTTTTTCTCTGGCTTCCCCTTCGTGGCCGAGCACAATCAAGGAAAGGGGCCCCTGGCGCCTGTACGATGCTCTTCTTTCCCTCTCTTCTTGCAGGCCAGGAAAACCCTTCTGGTGCCCACTCCGCGCCTGCGAACGGGGCTGTTCAACAGGATTGTCCCTCCCCCTGGAGCGACGAAAGAGATTCTCAGAAAATGTGCCACCTCTCAAGTAGGAATCAGAAACGAGGGAGGGGGTGGGGGGATTACGTCCGTCGCTCAGCTCCTTGCCACTTTTTGGCCTTCCGAAAGCCGCTTGGCCTGCTGCTGGCCACCAGACGGGGATAGCTGAGCACCGAAGCAGCTGTGCTTCTTTGCTCTGTGCCTGCCACACACCCTAATATGGCGAATTGACTCCCTCTTGCGTTGAAACAGCTCGTGTTCCTAAGCGGACCAGAAAATCTTTCCCAGGGGGTGCGGCAGTTGCTGGCCGCTTTATTTGTTTCATTGCGTTTATTGCATTTGCTCAAATGCCAAATGTTTTCTGGGCAGATAACATAAAAACAGCTTAATAAAATGCAGTGGTAAGAATAATCATTGCACAGTCAGCAATGTTGGATTTCGAAAGGCATCCTTAAAACCCAGTCCCGATCATGTTTAAATGGGAAATAAACCCTGTAAGATGGCTGGCTGGGGAGACCCTGGAGATCTTCTTTTCCTTTTTTTAAGGAATGGCCACTTTCGAGTTGGCAGCTGGGGGTGGGGGAAAATATAGTACTGAAATACGGTTTGCTATGGGGTTTCCACATGCCCCCATCTTCTTGGAATGTCTAAGGAGCACCTTGGCAGATCCCGGGGAATCACGTGCTCTTTCGGTGGAGCATGTGGGGATTTTCTGCCCACATTTCATAACTGCTCCCCTCCCCACACTCAATATTGCTTTTCTTTTTCAGGGTGTCAGGGATTACAGCGTCCCCGTGGGGCTCGATGCAAAGGTGCACGTGGACCTGGTTGTGGTAGGATCTGTGGCAGTTTCTGAGAAAGGTATGTGGTCCAGAAGCAGGTGCTGCTGAGTACTGGACTGGGACTCCAAAACGGAGGTTTCTAGTCCTCATGACTATCATGAGGCTCACTGGGCCAGACTTTCAGCCTAACAGGGTTGTTATTGTAGATGGATTAGAAGAGGATTGTGGGTGCTTTGTAAGGAAAAGTGCCAGGTATAAGGAAAAAAGAAATATAATTAATTAATTGATGGGGAATTGCTTGTGTGACTGAGATTCCTTGAATGGGGCAAGACTCCCGCTTTTGGCTGGAGCTCAAGAGGTGTGTGTGTGTGTGTGTGTGTGTGTATAAAAGTGCATTGCTGCCATCAATACATCCTGGGGCTTCTTCCTTTCTCCGTGTAGGTTGGCGGATTGGGAAAGGAGAAGGCTTTGCGGACCTGGAATATGCCATGATGGTCTCCATGGGAGCAATAGGAGAGGACACAATTGTTGTCACAGCTGTGCACGACTGCCAGGTAGCGATCGCAGCTTGGAGGACGGCTTGTGGGGAGCCTGGGTGCACTGCACCCTCTGAGCCAGGAAGCAGAGGAATCATGGCATCAGCTCTCCAGGCCAGGAGGCGAGAGAGAGAACCAGATTTAGCAACTGCTCTGCGTTAGGCGAAGTAAACACCTCCCTTGCGACTGCCAGATTCTTAGCCAGGAGTCAAACGGAGCTCCGAAGTATGTGCTTCACACTCCAGCGGGATGGGCCTCCCCACAGACTAGCGAACTGTTGTTCGGAGAGGGGCTCGCGGGGAGTCCTGCTCTGCGGGGAATCAGGACTCTCTGTGCAAAAGCGGTGCTTCTTTTTGCCACCCTAGCTGTTTTTGGGTGGCACAAGCAGCAATTTTGGGCACAGAGCAAGAGCCCCCAGGCTGCACAAATGGCAGTGGCAGCTTTGCAAGTGGGGGGCGGGAATCATTGACGGCAAAAGGAGAAGCGGGTGGCAGAGGATGAGGGGGCTGTATGGGTTACTGGAGAGGCAGATGTGGGGTTGGGTGGACTCCAGGGGATAGTGGAAGACAGGAAAACCCGGAGGAATGCTGTCCATGGGCTCATGAAGAGTTGTGCACAACTTTGCGACTGCACAACAACAATGGGTTGCAAAGTTCCCACACACACCTCCCCTGGTGCTCACCAGGTGCACTGAATGTAATTTTATTTCCTAAGGTTTCTGCAAGCATTCTTTCTTTTTCCTTTTTGCTTTTCAAGCTGGGGGCTGGTATCCCACATGGCAGCTTTCCATTCCCCGGTGCCACCTTTCTTTGGGTGCAAAGAAGTGGTCCCGTGTTTAAGAGCACAGATGCTATTTGGTCCCGCCCATGTGCCTTCTGAGAGACAAGTGTTTAGTCACCAGCCCTGGGCCCCATGGCAGCCATTTTGTGAAGGTGCCCACAGCACTCACTGAGCTTTCAGATGTGCCGACTGACCCAAAGGGGTTTGGCAGCACCGTCCATGCAACATGGAAGCAACCGATGCACCTCGGTGGCTTTTCCTCCTCGCCATAGGTGGTGGACATACCGGAGGAACTGCTGGACGACCATGATCTCACTGTGGATTACATCCTTACTCCCACAAGAGTGATCAAGACTGGGTGCAAGCGCCCCAAACCTCAGGGGATCCTTTGGCATAAGGTAAGATGCCTCCGCTGCCCGTCATGTGGGCCAACAGGTAGCTCAGGTGTGTGTTCATGCTTCAAAGGTCTGTGTGGGGCATCCTATAAATGAACGTGGATGGGAAGTGAGAAGCCACCTCGGACGTGCCGTCAAATCACCAGGACTGCACTGTTTTAAGCTGAGTTCAATCCAGATGGGCACCCGCTGGGAAAACTCTCCCCAGTTTTCCTGACAGCCGTTGAGCCAAGCTTGAAGAGGAAGCGTGGTCCCATAAGGGAGAGACACTGGGAAGAAGAAACTTCAGCCATCCCTTCCTTCAACCGCCCCCAAACAGGTGGGTTTCTGCACAACTGACGGAGGCAGGGAAGTTGCAAAAGCCGATGCCATCACTGGGAAAAGCAGAGACTTTACAACACAGTGCGAGGTAGATCTCCAGATGTTTTGAGGTGCATCTTTCAGACCTACCAGACCTGCCAGGGATCAAGAACGCTGCCCAGCCGAGGCCCAGAACAACTAGAAAGCTGCATTTTGCCCGTCCCTGTGTTAGACTAATTCATTTTAAAAACAGTTGGATTGAGGGCACAATCTTTGCCTGTTCAGCAGAAAAGAGTCCTACGATGTCCAGCGTTCCCCACGCGGCCATCAGGGGGCTCAGCTGGGAGAATATCACCACATGTCTCTAACAGAGAGATAAATTCTCCAAACTGAGTAAAGTTTCTCACGGGTAGGGACTTGGTATCAGCAGAGGCTGTAGCCAGATTTTTTTCTTCTTGCCTAAGGTTTTTTGGGGGGGTGGCGGAAGTCACAGCTGCCCCCCCTTCACCCCTCCACCACTCCCCACATCAAGCATTGTGCCAAGGCCTAGTGGGTGAAGAGAGAGATGGCAGCTGCCAGATCAAATTAACCTACGTGCTGGAAGCTGAGCGGCTCATGGCTGCTCTGGCAGGCCGACGAAAGACAGGACGGTCACACCGGTCCCTCAGCCACCCTTGGGATAAAATGAGCCTGAGGGTGTCTGAGCGAGCCCAGGAGAAGTTTTCTGCAGGTCTCTCCACCCGTGAATTTCCTCCCACTGGGTGGGATGAAAATGCATGCTGGGATGGGCCCTCCAAGGGCAGGGTCTCAAAGGGCAGCTGACGCACTGATCACACCATGCGTGTTCCCCGTGCGACCACTCCCGGACTCTTCCGAGGTCTTGGGGGTCTTTGATCTCCACCAGCAGCACCCCACTGTGCTCTGGTGCCAGAATTCGGCCCCCATAAATACTTTCCCTGCTACCTCCTGGCTCTCCTGCTTCTCATCATCCGCGATCTCTGCCGAGCTCTGGCCGGGACCGGCCACCCCGGCCCCGCAGGGTCCCTTTCATCTCGGTGCTGCTTTTAACACTTCGGCAGACAAGGGAGGCCTGTGGCAAGGGCTGTTTATCAGGCCCCGTGCTTCCTTCTGCATCTCGTCACATATCAGAGGGGAAGATGAAAGCCTGGGGGGCTGCTCGGGACAAAGCCTCAGACCCCAGCCGCACCCGCACCTTTGCCCTCCAGGCACTGCCATCTGTTCGCGGGATTTCAAGTGACCCTTTTTAGCACGGTGCTGCGGCCGTCCCAGGTGGGGGACCCTGCAAGAGACCCCAGAGGAGAGCCAGGTGAGAAGAGGAGCAAACAAATGGTCCTCCTCTTTCTCTCTCTCTCTCTCTCTCTCTCTCTCTCTCTCTCTCTCTCTCTCTCAGCAAACTGGAATAAAGAGAACCCAGAGAGAACACAAAAGCAGATACACAGTCACAGATGCACACACAGGCACATCTCAGAAAGGTGAAAGGGCAGCTTTGAAAGGACACAAGCACTGCCAAAGGGGCTTCTCCAGTCTGGAATTCTGTTCTCGGAGTGGCTGGCTGGATGCCCGAGCGGAAAGTCCACCAGCAGAAAGTGAGTGCCATAGCCCCATCCCACCCATTCTCCCCAGCAACTGGCGTACACCACTGTGCCACCTCTGATACTTGGGCTAGCATGTGTCCTTAAGGACTAGTAACATTGGTAGCCTTTTCCTCCATGAATTTGTCTGAAGCCCTTCTAAAGCTACCCACGTTAGTCAGCATCACTACACCTTCTGGAGGCATTCTGTGAAGACGTCTTTCTCCTACCCTCTTGGGGGTCACTTGGTTTCTCATGTCGGGAGGAAAACTTGGGAGGAAAGCAGAAGATAAGTAAATGAGCCAGGTGCAGGTATTATTTCAGCAACATGTGGGGCTTTATCCAGGGTTCAGTGAGCAAAAGGATGACAATAGTGATGATGCAGCTACTCCTTTGGAAAAAAATTACTCTTCTATGTTGGACCACAGAGAAGTTGAGAAGTAAAAAAAGGGGTGCAGCATCTTAGAGGGTCAGAAAGCAAAGCATGTGTCGGGCTGCTCTCCGCCAGGATTGTAGATCTTTGAGTTTACCACTAGAAAATTGGGGTTTGAGCATGCTCAGTCGTTTGTTTGTAGCTCTCCAAGGGAAACCCAGGGGGGAAATTGGTAGGAGGGTGAGGGTGGGATGTGGCAAGGCATTTGATTGTGCTCTGTGTGTATGATGGGCAGTGAAAACAGGCCAATCTGCTGCAGTACATGTTGCAGGCCATTGTTGTGAGAGTGTGTGGTGCTTCGCGGCAGCAGCTTAGTCTTCACAGATGTCAGCTGCCCTCTGTGTCTGCCAGATGCTGCTGCTGTTGCTGCCTAGAAGATGGAGTTGCCAAAACGGTTTGGCCCGAAGTGTGTGCTCCTTTAAGTCTCTAGGCGATTGCGGTTTTTTGAAGAGGGTGGCAGGGAAACACCTTCTCTCTCTCCTCTTTTTAGATCAGCCATGAAATGCTGGCGAAAATCCCAGTCCTCAAGAGCCTTCGCTACAGAGAGCAACGAGGAGGCATAGATGCTTTCCTCAAAGATGAGCCGCCCGGTGCTCCAGTGGCCAGTGGACCAGCCAGCAAGAATCGGCCGGAAAATAGCCAGTGGCCGAGCGAGAGCGGCCCAGTGCCAACAGGCCCGGAGAAGCCGTCCTCTGTGTGCACACCGGACCTGCCCAGGGTGCCTGCCACTGTCTACGTGGGCAACCTCCCACAGGGCACCCGGGTGAGCGAGCTGAAGGATGCCCTGAGAGCGCATGATGCACTTCCCGCACGGCTCACCTGGCACGGTGCCCAAAACCAGGCCTTTCTCAGCTACAGCGACAGAGCTGCCGCGGACGCCGCCCTCTCAGCTCTGCAGGGGTTAAGTCTCCGAGGTGGCCACGTGCGGGTCGAACTGGCCAGGAGGCAGGGGAGCAGGAGGGCACACAGACCCCAGTAGGAGAAGGAGGGGCCAGGGCAGCTCTCGCTGCGGGGGCAGAAGAAGGGGCCCGCGCAAAGGCTTTGGTGGACTGCTGCTGGCTGATCCCGGAGCCTGGCCATTCAAGCCAGGGGCCTGATATGACCGGACCATTCCGCCACCAAGGGAACGGCAGGCCTGTGGGGGATGAGGCCCTGGGATGGCCACATGGTCACTGATCCCCGTGTCTTTGGGACTATGCCACGTGGCTGGACAGCGCTCTCCTTTCTGCAGGTGGCGGGTGCTTTTTTCCAGACACTCCCCTCAAGTAGAAAGCTAGCACATCCAGGACTCTGCCCCATCGGGGCATTTCTCCACTTGCAAGGACGGGTTCGTTTCGGTGCAGGGGACCGGCTGTGTGGCTAGTATGGTTGCAAAGTGGAGCATTCAAAGGCTGTGGCCCCTCACCACCCCCAGTCTTGGGACTTGTAACACCCCGTTCTGCCCCAGGGAGGTCAACTGGCCCTTGGCTGAAACCTCTCCAGGTGACGTCAACATACCTTTGACTACAGGAGAGCACGAGAGCCACTTTCTGGTTAGAGCTTCTTGGCTGTATGATGTGCTGGCCACTCAGGCGCATGAGCGGCTGTGGAACTGTTTTTCCGCTTACTCGACAGCCTCTCCTGGACTTCTCTCCTCCTCAGCAATGAATTCTAACCCTTGGTGTTTGTGTACAAGCCTGTTTTCTTGACAGAAGCATTTATGGGAAGGGTAAATGTGGAAAAAGAGGCGTGCACCTCGATTTCTGCAGAGGCATTTGTCCACACTAAGAATCTGGGAAACAAAGAAATGTCTATTTCTTTCTTCCCCTGAAAAGCAAGTTGGATTTTGGCTGAACTTCTTTTTGAACAGAATCAGTTTTACAGTGGATCGCAGGCAAAATGTCAAAGCAAGCCCTGAAATATACTCTTGCATTAAAACAACGAAAACACAAACCCCCGCAAGAGTTGGGAATATTTCTCTACTACTAGGAGATACTGCTGTGTGCATTTTAAGCATGTTATAAAAATGAGGCAGGCCTTTTGTAAAGCATTACATAAAACCTTTGCGAGGTTCTAGAGTATTCTCGGCATGACATCCTGTGGACCACCGCCTTCCCTTCCTTCCATTGCTTTTCAAAGGAAAGCAAAAGTGAAAAACAACTATTTTTGGTGCGCTCCCGATGGTTTGGAAGGCATGGGTGTGATGGAACCCCCCCTTTCTGCTTTGGAGCCTGGGCTAAAATAATTGGGCACGGTACCAAGAGAGGTCCAAATGCTTCCTTGTGTGCAGGAGGGGCAGACGGCTAAAATATTTCTTCTCACAGGACGATGTCTTCTCAGTAAGACAGCAGACTGATAACACTCTCTCAGCATCAACTGCCTTCTCCCACCCCCAACCTGGTGCCTGCCCAGGGTGTTGGATTGGAATTCCCGCCTGCCCCAGCCAGCATAGGCTTGGCTGAGGATGATGGGAGATGGGATCCTCCTTTTTGGGGGGAGGGTGGGGGTGGAATCCAAAACAGTGCAGAGACCGAAGGGCTGAGTCATGCGGGTCAATGGGATCTCATTCTGCAGAGGCAAGGGAAAGGAATAAATGCCTTCTAAAAAGGAAGAGAAAATGGATCTTTCTGTTTTGAAGGAATGGAGCCGTTGCCTTCTCAAGGGCTGATTGTCTCCTTCAAAGATTCCTCTGACTTTGCACTGCTCCGTTTACAGAAAGCGAAGTTTTCATCTCCCGAAAGGAAACAATCGCTCAGGCTGTTGATATATGGGGTCATTCTTTGCTTCTGCATGTAAACAGGGACTGCATTCCCTATTGTACATCAACTGCCGGTTCCTCGCAAATCCCAGGGGAAACATCACGGTATCCTGTTCTCCCAGGTGCGGGCTTGATTTTGGATCCTTCCATTCGAGAGCTTTGTACAGTAAGGGATTTTTGCAGTAAAGGCTATTTTTGACATCTTGGCATGAGTTTCCCATTCCACACAGCAGAAAGACTCATGCTATTGGAAACCAAAAAGATCCTCTTTTTTTCCACTGAACAAACTTGAATATTGCTTCTGGTTTAACTACAATGCCCTGGCGTTGCCCAGTTTTTCTTGAGATGTGATGGCTAGAGAGGTTAAAACCCTAATCCTGTCGGCACAATAAGGTAAGTGGGAATTATTTAAAAGTTATTAAAAAAAACATTACAACTAGAACCCTATTCACTCTTGCTTCCAAGTAAACTTTTGCAGATTCTGCCTGTAAATTAAACAGTTTCTATGCCTGGTGTCTTCTTAGACATCACCAATTTTACAAGGGTCCAGCAGATGGCAGAATTGATGCATCAAACATCATCTTAGAGAAAGTGGCTTTACTCATTTATCCTTATAAAGGTCTTTCCAATACATTTTAATGCATATTTTCACCCTCTTTACTTCCTCCCACATTCCCCAGTGGGAAAAAATGTTTAGTTTGTTGGTTTGTGTTTATGATTTTTATGTTTTACGATTTGTTTTATTGCAAACCACCTTGAGGACGCCGCAATGTAGAAAGATGGACTGGAAACGATTTCATCCAACCAAACAAACATATAAAATTGACCATATGAAGCCCTAATGCCCAAGAGCTTGTATAAGTATTGTTCAAATCTGGAAAAGTTCAATGTTCCAAACAGTGAGGCTGAAACAACAGTAATTTCACAATCTAAGAAGTAGCTATATATTTCTAAGGGAACATTCCAACCTCCAGAACAAGTTGCCATCCTATAAATAACAATAAATAGAGTTACACAGTAAGAAAAAGAAACATGTATCTATATATGTCACATAGAGACATCCAGAGCAAGTAGTCCTTGGATGAAGAAGGAGGTGGAGGAGGAGGTATCCCAATATTTCTGTTCTCACTCATTTATCTCCCTGTATTCTAATCAGTCACTCTCAGATCTAAGGGTATTTCAGAATGTAAACTTCTACCCCCGTACTGCTGCAATAAATGGGCAATTGCCACAATTAACTCCATTCTCAGGAAGAGGCCCTTCCAGGGATGAGTTTGAAGGCCTTTGGAGAAATCCAAGAAGCTCCAAGGGCCAGACTGGAGAGCTCTGCAGACTGCGTCAAACCTGCGAGCTGGGGGTTCTACGTCCCAGGTATTCAAGGTGGTAAAGGGTGAAGACTGGCGTACAAAATTAGCTGCACACACCTGGAAGCAGCCAAGAATGCCGCATTCTGTGGCATTCGTTGATGGGTGCTGCAAAGCATTCCCAAGCCAGGGCAAAAGCATGCATGACTGCCAGACCATTCCAGGTGGAGGCGGTTCAGTTGGCAGATCCCTGTGCAGACTAAATCTCCAGGACTCCCACGCCAGCTTTTGCAAAGGAACAGGGCAGCTGCTGTCAAGTGCTGCTGAAGCCGACTATTAGCAGTCTATTGGCAGATACAACCAGGCCCGTCTCAGCAAAGGCATCGATTCTTGGGGTGATAAGAACGGAGTGGGAGAGAGCCTTCTCAAAGGTCACGACAAATTCATATATCCCCTGTGCAGGGCCTTCCTTCTGGATTGCGCCCATAAAGGAGATCAGCCAATTTTTAATCATTGATGGAAAGGGATGCCTCTTCTAGGAATGCCTCATTTTGGAATGCCTCTTCTAAGATTTGCATAGATGCTGATGCCAAAAATGACATGTTTGTTGCAAAGCCTGATTCATCGTGGCACCTTTTTGTCCATCAAAGGTTGTGCTTTGGATGGATTAATCCATTTATTGAAGCAGCTCTGAAGCCCTAGTTAGAAATAAAGGTGGTGGAGTCTACAAACTTGATCTGGAAACTTTAGGTGCACCAGAACAGGGTGTCTGGACTTTAAACAGACTGGCCAGTAGCATCACATGATGCCAACTCTGTTTTCACCAGCATGAGTGCCAATCTATTTCCAGACTGAATTCAAAGAGCTGGTTTTAAACTTCTAAGCCCTAAATGGCCGGGGTTGAAACTACCTGAGTGCGGCTCTTTCCATATTTACCTACCTGGACACAGAGGTCTTTATCCAAGGCTCTTCCCCACATCCCACAGAGAATGAGCAAGATGGGTGGTTACAAGAGAGAACCTGCATTAAGATCTCTCTGGCACCAGGTGACGACATTTTAATTCCTCCAGTTTTGTAGGAACTTTTCTTTCTTTTTAAAAATCTTCCCAAAATTTTCATTGCTCATACGTGCCAATGTTTGTGTGCTCACCATCGTTTGAACTCCTTTCTGCTGTTTTTATCCTTGTTCGGTTCATATTTTTAACCCATGTTGCCGTACATTCTAAAGATGACTTGAATAAATGAAATTATATGGGAAGTGTTCATTCATTCATGGTAATTCCATAATTTCATTCAAATTATTAATTCATTAAATGTCCCCTGTTCTTCTGAAGGCCCCAAGGGAGCGTACAGAATCATCTTCAGAGTTTTAGCATCACAACAACCCTGTGGAGGAGGGTGTGGACTAAAGTCACCCAGTGAGTTTCATGGCTGATTGAGGACTTGATTCTGGATCTCAACAATCCCAGTCTAACACTTAAGGTACTCTGTTCAGATTGATGCTTGAAATTATTGGCTTAAAAATGAGCAAAGCAACTAAGGCACATGATCCAGTGAGAAGTGGAGCTAGAGAGCCCGTGTATTTCAATGGAATAGACTTTAAGCAATGGAGATGCTTAACCAAGTAATCCTATCCATGCTTACTCAAAAATAAGCCCCACTGAGTCCAATGGGACTTACTCCCAGGTAAGCAGATATAAGATTACAGGCTTTCTTGAAAATCAAGGGGATGTTTGATGATGACTAATCCCTGACTTCCTAAGAAAGTTCCTGAATGATTTCCCACAAATGTCACTTCACAAAAGGTGAAGGCATCTGGTATCCAAAAGGTACTTTCCAGACTCTAAATGTTGTCAGATTTTGAGCTGGAATAAAAATGTCATCGTGCTTTGATTTTCTGGGCTTTTCAGTGGCATGTTGAAAGAAGAAGCAACAGAAAGCTGCACATTTTAGGGTCTGATGGAAGGCTATAAAATTGGGGGCAGAAGAACTGGTTTGGGGACCGCATACAGCAGAAAGTGAATGTTAAGACAGTTCGGCTGCCATTTTCACCGATGATTTGAATTCCCTGGCTCTGCAAACATGTACGTTTCCTGTAGCGCTGGTTGGTTCCAATCTAGGACTTCTCTGGAATTTGACTGACAGGTCTTATTTCAGGAGCAGGGGAGAAGGTTAATGAATATTTGCTTCTTTTAAAAAAAATATCTCCACTGCACATTAACCTGAGAAGGAGAAACACTTTTCCCCTTTGCTTTTTATTCCTAGTATTTCAGCTTGGAGAAGCAGGACAATTTTTCCTTTCCTTCATGTTTTTGGTTGGCTTAAAAAGCAACATCTAAACACACAGAGAGAGAGAAAGCAAGGGAGGGAGGGAGAGAGAAGCAAAAGAAGAGAAAAAGGGAAAAAGAGAAGAAATTCATATGCATTAGTTTTTATCAAACATTATGGCATCTGCCTCAGCCCATGCCACTTGGTACAATACATGGAAATAATATTTGAAACGAGGGGAAACTTAGAGAAACTTGGATCCAAATGGCCTAAATTTGGAGGGCCAGGGGAGCCCCACCCACAACATCAACAGTCTTGCTCAACTTTTACTTTGCATTTTGTGAAATCACGT